CGTACCGTAACGAAATGTTCGTGTAATACTAAATGTTTTCAAATAGATTATTATAAATATTGTAAAATTGTCTAATATTTATAAGAATTATATAAACTGAATTGCAGAGTTGAAATTATTTGTAAAGTATATTAGTACTATAGTCAGAATTAAAAATAAAATCTGAAATATTATCGATATACAAAAAACTAAAAAAAAAAAAAAAAAAATTGGAACAAAATTTTTTTTCCAGAATCAATTATTTCGTTAAGACAAGCAGAAAGTTCTTTGAATCATTTAAATCGGACGCTTAGTTCTCTCAAAAATTGCCATTTTTTACATATTTAGCTTCGTATCTTCAAAATGACTGGGCCTGCCTTTGCCAAAAACTAATAAACACTTCTCCCAATCATTACTAATTGAATGTTTTTTAGATCATTTAAATCGGATACTCCGTTCTCTCAAAAATTCGATTTTTATTTTCTGCACTCTTTGCTCCGTATCTCCGAAACGGCTGGACCTGCCTTTGCCAAAAACTAATCAGCTCTTTTCCCTATCAATAGGAATCGAATGCTTTTTGAACCATTCAAATCGGTTGATCCGTACGCCCGAAAACGTGGGCGAAAATTTGTATCCATACATACATACACACTCACACATACACACACATCCATTTTTTCTGAGGTATGCCAAAACGTTCAGAAACCTTCAAAACGTCGAGAAATGTAAAAATTTTCAATTCCGATTTTCGGCCCATTACAATAACTTACCCTACGAAAAGTTAAAAAAAAAAAAATTAACGGATTGTCACACTGAGTCCCATTGGGAAGATAGGCTTATGTAAGTAATTTAAATTCACTTTTTATTCTTCAGGATATGTGTATAATTAGAGCCTTATTATTATAGCTCGAGTGCAGAATCAACGAGACCTACGAAAGTAGGAGATATTTCATACGGTTTTTGACACACGGTTTTGTTGTGTGGGGTGTCGGAGAATAACAAAGGTATATTTCTTTATATATATATATATATATATATATATATATATATACTTAGAAATAGAAAAAATCCATATTCCAAACGTTTCAAAATTTTCATTCTTTTTTTCAAATTTTTCAAAAATATTCAAAAGTTTATACTTTAAATTTACAATTCAGTTTTAAAATGTATATATTTCATATGCGTTATTGTAATCGTAAGAAATATATGCTCAGATGGACTCATTCGGCATCTCTTCTTAATGAAAATATTTTCTAGTGTTTTGATTTCTAGGGATTTTTCATTATCATTTTTTTATAATAGATTACAGAATGAAGGGCATTAATTTATGCTTCGACAACATAAAATTGCAGTTTGAAAAGGAGGAGCGTTTATTATCTCTCCTGCCGGTACTATATGAAGACAGATAGAAACGTGGAGGCGTACTTCCTGGATTTTTTTATGATGAAGTAAGAATGTATAGTTACAAAAAGGCAATGTTAAATTTTTATAATAATACATAAATACATAGCAATCAGCTATTATAATATTAATAATTATTATTTTAGTCCACAGACGATGCGAGTTGGGGCGGAGATGACCGAGGAAAAAACCGCGGCGGCAGAGGAAACAACCGCGGCCGTCGCGTAAACAAACGCGGCGGCCGCGGAAATTACCGCGGTGGACAAGGAAACTATCGCCGCGGCCAGGGCGGTAATGATAGTACCCCCGACAGTGTCGCTCCTAGAACTCCACCTGCAGATATCCTCGCGCACTGCTGCCGGTCCTAAGCCCGGGTAAAAGAGGAAGGTTGTGGGGCGAGAACAACTTTGATCCCACATAAAAACGGCACATATAACGCAAGCTCTAGGTCATGTCTCTGGAGAGCGGGGTCCTTGGCTTAATCGCCCGGGTCACGAGGGAGGATCCTCTATAAAAAAAACACTCTCAACTCTAAGGTAGGCCGCGCGCCGAAGGAATGAATGGCTGTGAGGAAATACAGCTACGAGCAACCAACTCCGAGGCACCAGCCGACACCCAGGCATTGGGAGCGCTACCTGGGCCGACTAATATTCTCCCGTACTCGTGGGAACAAAAATGAATTCTCAAAAAACAACAAAACCTAAAACTGACAACTCGTTGTCAAAACAGGTTACTGCCCAAAAAGCAGAAACCAAACATGAAGAGAAAGAGAAGGCAAAAAGGGAAGTAACCCCTGAAACAAGCAAAAACAGTCTATTATCAGATAGAATGATTTGCATAAAAAAAGAAAGAGAAGGCCTAGAAAGCTTCCTCTTTACCGAATCCAACAAGATTAATAAATGTGCCATTAAATTTATATTGGAAAAGTGGTCAAACCTGGAGATAATGCTCCAGAAAGAAATAGTTGACCGAAAGAAGGCACAAGGAATGTATAATAAGAAATGTAAAAACGGCGCCAATATGTCGTACGCAAACGCAGCTGCAAAGGCAGCAAACAAGGCTAGTACTCAAATAATAGAAAAAAGCAAAAGCGAATTTGTATATATTAAGCCAGAGTGCAGTAAAACTGACACTCGCTCAAATGACGAATTAAAGGACAAGGTTGGGAGAAGCATGTAGAAAGGATGTCCACAGGGATCAATAATTGGGCCTGTTGCATGGAACTTCTGCATGGACGTTCTTCTAGATGGCCTAGCTCAGCTAGGAGAAACTGTGGAACCTATTGCATACGCAGATGACTTGGCGCTAGTAATGAAAGGAAACTCCAGAAGTGATCTGGAGAAGACTGGTACTATGGCGCTTAAATTTGTTGAGGATTGGTACGTGACGCATAAAGTGAGAGTCAGCAGTGGAAAAACTGTTGCAATGATGATAAAGGATAGACTTAACGAAGGCGTCCGGAGTTTATGTAAGTTACTATAATAATGTAGACATTTGTGCCAGTTTGTATCAGAATTCTGATAAAGATATCTTTCCACAAAAGAGTGAATTATCAGTATTTACAAGTTTGTTTTTATTACATATAAAGTTCTTCATTTTACATACTATCATTACAGTTATTCACTATACCTGGAAAGTTTGGAAATGTTAACAAATGCGCCATCCCTACTGGAAGGGCAAGTGACACGTGGCGTCAAAAACATTTAAATAATTTGTTTTTCATAAAGAAGTTGGACCTGGCACTGCTAAGTACGGGCTTCAAGATGAAGATTATATATTAATAATCATGGCAAAAATGCAATGTAGAATGTTGAAGAACTTTAGTGCTGATAGAGTTTGTATTGATGGTAGTCATAGGACGAATGGCTATGGGTATCTGCTACAAACACTGCTTGTGGTAGATGAATTTGGAAGCGGCATACCAGTCGCATTTTGTTTTTCAAATAGGCAAAATGAGTTGATGTGTAAAATATATTTCGAAGAAATTTATAAGGTGGTAGGTATACTTGAAACAAAGGTACGCTCCAGCTTATTTTAATGCTGGGTCATCTGTCATGGGTGCGCCACAGCATAAACATTTATGCTCCTGGCATATGTCCAGGAGCTGGAAGAGAGCAGTATCACAACAGATTGTAAATTGAGAAAAACGTGAAGTCATTTACCTGAAATCAATAGAATTAAAAATGATTTTAGATGAAGATGATTTTTGGAGCAATTTAAATTCTTATTTGAATGAACTTAAGAAAGATGACGATGCTAAATTATTTATTACATATTTTAAGAAATTTTATTACAACCGAGCAACTACTTGGGTGTATTGTTATCGGAATGGTTTAGGAATAAATACAAACATGTTTTTAGAAAGTTTGCATAACCAAATGAAAACCGAGTTTTGGGAAGAAAGTGTTCTAGGAGGATGGATAAGGCCATTCAATTGGTGTTACGCCTCGAAATGAATGCTTTTATTCAGAGGACCCGTAGAATAAATGGAACATTACTATCGACAAGGCAGAGAGATGTACGAGTAAGACATATAAGATGAGTGGACAGAATTATTCATAGTTCTAACTGTGTATTTAAACTTCGCGCGCGTCGTTCGTACTGTCAGAACGACGCGTTACTGTTATGTTGGCGACATGTCATGCAAGACGCAATGTTCACGTTTTGACATGACTTCCCCGCAATACTTGCATATACATTAATCACTCTCTTGTACATACGAGTTTACCCCTCGTATACCGCCGAGGAGTAAAAATCTTATAAAATATATTAACTTATAATCCATCCAGTGTTTCTTTATACCATAATTTGGTCTTTCTCACGGATAGTCACCAGTGCAAGCATTATTTTTGAGAATTATTATACACTGTGGTGAGAAAAGTTTTTTTATATACAAGTAGTATTACCGGCGTGTATTGTTTTGTTTACGCATGCGGCATTGAAGTTGTCTATGTCGTTCGTAAACAAACAGCAGAGCAACAAGAATATCCTTAACCAAGCTAGCAGTTCGGACGCTGATATCGTGTTACTAGGATCCCACGTGGAAGACAAAAATTAGGATCAACGCTGACTCGTGTAATTCAAAACACGGGGGTCGTGAGTGATTCAAAATTCTATGCATTGCAGTAACCTCACTATTGTTGCACATTACACATAAGTGTTTATTGACCTTATTCCTGTATTATTTGACTTAGTAATAAGTGTTAAGATTTCATTATTGCTTTTGTACATTGTGTAGCACGTGTTGTAATAATATTAATTTAGTATAGTATAACTGGCTGGTATAATGGCGGATGCGGATTCATTGGAAGGCACCTATAAAATGACCAAGGCTTCATTTGATGCCATCAACAAATATGTTACTGGATTCCAGGAGGGCGACAATGTAAAGGCTCTCTCTGTTCGGAAGCAGAAGCTTGTTGAACGTATCCACAACTGGGATGAGGTGTACGTCCAGCTTGAAAGCATGTCTCCAGATGTGTACACTAATGAGTACCTTAAATACTCGGAATTATACTTTGATATGATGGCTGAGATAGAATCAATTATTGACTCCCATCAAAAATCCGAAAAATAAAAAAATAGCGTGAAATTGCCAGATATTGTATTACCAAAATTTAATGGCGAGTATAGTGAGTGGACAGCCTTTATTGACTTTTTTAATTCATTGATTCATAATAAATCAAAATTAGCGCCAGTCCAGAAATTGCACTATTTAAAAGGTGCTCTCACCTTATCAGCTTCAGAATTAATATCTAGTATAAGTGTCACAAATGAAAATTATGCAGTAGCATATGAACTTGTAATTAAAACTTACAATAATCAATTTTTAATTGTCAATGCTCACTTGCAGAGCATTGATAGCATACCTGTAATACAAAAGGGCAGTCATGAGAGGTTGAGAATTCTTTTAAATAGTGCAAGACAACAAATTCAGTCATTGAAAGCCTTCTTTGAGCCTGCAGCACATTGGGACATTATCTTATTGCATATGTTGTGTAGGAAGCTTGACAGTGGGACAAAAGTGGCTTGGAATCTGTCTCGGGCGTCAGGGCAGTTAAATTCTTTAGTGGAGTTCTTCACATTTCTTGAACTCCGGGTAACAGCCTTGCAGAATTCGTGTAGCTCAGGCAGCAAACCAACCACCAAGTCTGTTCATACAATTGTTAAGAAACCTACACAACTGTGTAGTTATTGCAAAAATGAGGACCATGTGCTGTATAAATGCTCTACTTTTAAGGCACTGGATGTAAAAGCACGTAAGTTTTTTATTAATAAAAAATCGATTTGCTCTCGTTGTTTGGCTTCTCGACATAATGTGGCTAAATGTAAATTTAGATATGATTGTTCAAAGTGCAAAGAGTCGCATAATACTTTGCTACATGAAGAACCTGAGCCAATGCCCAGCACTTCAAGTAGTACTGTATGCATGGCAAATAATACGGGGATGCAAACATTATTATCTACGGTTTCTCTCATTGTTATGGACACCGACGGAACCCAACATAAGGTGCGAGCGTTGTTGGACAGTGGGTCACAAATCAACTTAATTACTTCCTCGTTGTTAGCAAAATTGAAATGCCCGGTTAGTTCATCTCTGCATAAACTGAGTATGTTACAGGGGCAGACTGTTTTGTGTGACAAGGCTGTTAAGTTGACAATAAGATCTAGATTAGGGTCCTTTGCTCGTACTATTAATTTTGTAGCTGTTGACAGGATCACCCAGTCTCTGCCTTCTGCGTTTATAGATTATGATAACTGGAAGATTCCAGATAATGTTGATTTAGCGAACCCAATGTTCAATGTTCCAGGGTCAGTTGACATGTTGATAGGGGTGGAGTTATATTTCGAAGTGCTACAGCAAGGTTGCATTCGTTTAGGGAACCACCTACCTATCCTAAGAAAGAGCTGCTTTGGTTGGCTGATCTCAGGGGTATATACTTCAAAAACTCAAACATGTGCATGTTGGATTTATTTCTAATGAAGACCTGCATAACAGTCTGACCAGGTTTTGGCAGTTGGAGGAGGTATCCTCTAACTATACAATGACCGGGTCTGACAAGTTATGTGAGGATCATTTCCTCTCTAATGTTTCACGGCTTGAAAATGGTCAATTTGAAGTAGCTCTACCCTTTGTAGATGGCAAAATTGAAAAACTAGGATCATCGTATTTAGGTGCAAAACATAGGTTTTTGAATTTAGAGAGGCGGTTTTCTAAAGATAGTATTTTGTTTGCAGCATATTCACGGTTTGTGAATGAATACATTAAACTAGGGCACGCTGAGCAGATATCACTTACTCAGGATGAAGTAATTCAAAATAATTTATATTTCTTGCCACATCACCCTGTTGTGAAGGATAATAACTTCAATAAGATTAGAGTAGTTTTAGATGCTTCGGCGAAATCTTCCTCTGGTGTCTCGTTGAATAATATTCTTCACACTGGCCCTAAATTGCAGCAGGATTTGTTTTCTATCTTGGTTCGATTCAGGTGCCATCAGTTTGTTTTTGTGGCAGACATTGTGAAAATGTATCGCCAAATAAAAGTTAAGGATACTGATCAGTTATATCAGTTGATCTTATGGAGGGAGTCACCCCAGGAAACCTTAAAGATTTTCAAACTCACCACGGTAACATATGGCACAGCTAGTGCTCCGTACCTGGCAATGCGCTGTTTGAAGATGCTGGCGCAAAATTATGCGTCAACATTTTCACAGGCAGCACAAGTGCTAGATACGTACTGCTATGTTGATGATATCATTACAGGTGCTGATAATGCGGATTGGTTAAGATACAAAGGGAAGTTGTACAATTGTTAGATGAAGGGGGGTTCTCCTTACATAAATGGTCAAGTAACTGTCGTGAAGTTTTACAAACTATCCCAAAGGAAAGTCAAAGCTCTGCTATGGCCTTGTTTTCTGAAGCAGACACTGTTAAAACCTTAGGGCTTGCGTGGAATCCTTCACAGGATGTTTTTAAAATAGCGCATATTAAGGTTTTAGAAGCAGACATTAGACAGGGTGTTGACACAAAACGATCTGTATTATCAACAATTGCACAGATTTATGACCCAATTGGGCTCATATCTCCAATATCTGTAACTGCGAAGTTGATAATGCAGGAGTTGTGGAGACAAAACCTTGGTTGGGACGAGACTTTGTCGCGAGAGTTACAAGATAGGTGGAATCTTTTTAAAGTTCATCTCTCTGATCTAGAGAATCTCAGTATTCCTCGAAATATTTTTAAGTCGATTCCGGTGACAATTCAATGTCACGGATTTTCAGACGCCTCATTGTATGCATATGGTGCCTGCATTTATCTAAGGGCAACATACGCAGATGGCACCTTGTCATCAAGGTTACTTTGTTCGAAATCGAAAGTAGCCCCATTAAAAAATGTGACGTTGCCTCGGATAGAATTATCTGCGGCTTTGCTCTTAGCAAAGTTATTTAGGCAGATGATGACGATCACAAAAATCCCAATTTCGGAGTCGTTTCTATGGTGTGACTCAAGCATTGTCTTGGCGTGGTTAAAGACAGATCCGTCTCTATTGAAAATGTTTGTTAGCAATAGAGTGGCGGAAATTCTTGATCTTGCCAGGCATTGCTTGGAGACACGTCTGTAGTAAAGAAAATGCTGCAGACATTATATCTAGGGGTGTAAAGACGCCATTAGAGTTAGTAGACTGCGATCTATGGTGGCACGGGCCTGCTTGGCTGCTACAAGATTCTAGTAATTGGCCTAACAGGTTTGCTGGTGATGTTAAGGAAGCTATTCCAGAACGGAAAGTGCTAGCAACAACTGTCGGCAACACTAGGAATGAATTACTAGAAGATCTTCTGGCTAAGTGTTCTCGGTTCAGCAAACTAGTCAGGGTGGTGGCGTTCTGCATCCGATGGATCAACATTATTCGTTTCAAACAAAGAGGTTTACTTTCGGTCGCTGAATTAAACACAGCGACGAAGCGTATCTTTTATATGGTTCAGAAGGATGTTTTTGGTAATATAGGTGAACAGTTGAAGTTAGGTAAGCAATCCAATGCATCTCTTGGTAAGCTGAAAGCTTTAAATCCTTTTGTGAATGCTGAAGACTTACTTCGAGTGGGTGGGAGATTGGAGAAAGCCAACATACCCTACGACCAAAAACACCCAGTGATTCTACCTAAAGGCAATATTGTTATTGATATGTTTGTTAGGTTTGAGCATGAAAGATTGTTGCATGCAGGTACCCAAACTGTTCTAGCAAACATTATACTTAAATATTGGCCTATAGATGGTCGTAATACGATAAAACATGTGATACACCAATGTGTAAAGTGTGCGAGATTTAGGGCAACTTCGGCAGAACAGCTAATGGGCAGTTTGCCCAAGGATAGAGTTACTGCATATCGACCATTTCAAGTTGTAGGTGTCGACTTTGCCGGTCCGGTGTTGCTACGTTCGAGTAGTTTGAGAAAGGCTCAACATACGAAGGCGTACATTTCTTTATTTGTTTGTATGGCCACTAAGGCTATTCACATTGAATTGGTTTCCAGTCTGTCAACTGAAGCCTTTTTAGCTGCTTTACGCCGTTTTATTGCGAGACGTGATTGTTGTTCGGTAATCCATAGTGACAATGGGAGAAATTTTGTCGGCGCAAAAACGGAATTAAAACAATTAACCAAACTATTTATGTCCGAGAAGTCAAAAAACGAATTGATTTCCGCGTCATCACGGTTAGGAATAACTTGGCAATTCACACCTTCTCACGCTCCTCATTTCGGAGGATTATGGGAAGGTTCTATCAAAGTAATGAAACATCATATCCGGAGAGTAATAGGATCATACTGTCTCACCTATGAGGAGTACATGACGGTTTTGATACAAATTGAAGCTGTGTTGAACTCCAGACCAATCCTTGCCCTCACGGATGATAGCACTGATGCTGCCTATATCAGTCCAGGGCACTTCATTATCGGAAATACGTTAACAGCTCTTCCAGAGCCATTCATTGACACCAACGTTAAAACAATGAAATTGCATCAGCAAATGGCAAGCATGCGCAACCAATTTTGGGCAATCTGGTCAAAGCAGTATTTGTCAGACTTGCAAAAAAGGGCAAAATGGAGTCAACCTCAACCAAACATCAACATAGATGATACTGTTTTGTTAAAGGAAGACAATGTACCTCCATTACAGTGGCCAAGTGCTAGAGTGGTGGATACCAAACCAGGAAAGGATGGCAAAGTAAGAGTTGTGTCCATTAAAACTAGCAGTGGCGTATACACCAGGCCAATCACAAAAATTGTACCATTACCATGCCAGTAGCTTAAGTTATTTGTTTTGTTCCTTTTCGTTATATAATTCCATGATATGTGTATTAGTTCTTATATTCTATAGTATATATTTTATGTCAATTGTTGAGATTAATCATTGCCATTATAATTTAAATATCCTTCTGTTTTACTGAACTTAGTTATACCATTTAATTAATTAGAATAATTATACTCATACTTATGATATATTGATTACCTGTTGTTCAAATTATTTAGGATTAGGATGTCAATATGTTCGTGTTATTATATGTTCATTTATTTAGTATTATTCTCATTAAGTTAAATATTTATTCCTCTGTTCATCTTTCATTAATACAGTCCATTGTTCATTGTTCAAAATTTATAAGGTACTGTCACTTGTTATGCTTTTCATTTATTAGTATTAAGTCGATATGTAATTTTGTAAACTTCATACATTTGTAAGAATAATTCTGTTTTAGCTGATTAATATGTGATGCTTGCATCGTGCCGGAGCATGGACAGAATTATTCATAGTTCTAACTGTGTATTTAAACTTCGCGTGCATCGTTCGTACTGTCAGAACGACGCGTTACTGTTATGTTGGCGACATGTCATGCAAGACGCAATGTTCACGTTTTGACATGACTTCCCCGCAATACTTGCATATACATTAATCGCTCTCTTGTACATATACCGCCGAGGAGTAAACATCTTATAAAATATATTAACTTATAATCCATCCAGTGTTTCTTTATACCAATGAGATAAGCAATATTGCTGCATCGTATTCTAGAATGCATTCTCAACACACGATGGAATTTATTGCCAACAGATGATACCGTTGCACCATACGGGGTTATCAAAAAAAAAAAATCAAACATATAATAGTACATGCACGAGATGCGAAGGATGTAAGATTTGTTTGCATACGTACACATGCAGTTGCATAGATTATTTGATAAGATCAAATCATCCACGCATGTGGAAGGGTTTTCCCGAGTGATACTGGTTTTAAGCGTAAACTCTTAGAAAAAGATGTTACAAAAATCTCAGGATTTTAAAAATCCAGAGAATTTTCAAACAAGTATAGAAGATGATGAAGAGGCTAAGATCATGAATTTAATACAGGATAAACAGTTTGGTAATCATGAAACATTTAAGGACCAAGTTTGTTCATTTCTGCAGCAAGTACAGATATCGGCCCAAGAAAATATGAGAGAAAGTGAAAATAAAAGAGTGCCAAAGGGCAGGAAAGAAAAAGACCACTTGATTTGGTATTAAATTATCTAATTTATTTAAATTCTATTAGTAATATTATTTAATTAATTTATTAATTTATTTATTTATATATTAATTTTATTGATGTGATATAATTTTATTGCATACGAGGTGTGTTCAAAAAGTACCCGGAATTTTTAAATTTCGCGGGTCTGGAGTGTCTGATTGTCAAAATTTTTTTATTGTGTTGGTATACATGCCCCTAAAGTATGATGAAATTTTCAGCTATATTCACTGTTTACTTTGTCTGTGGTAGTCGCTAAGGTTCGACGTGTTTTTCTGAGCTCGGCGATTTTTACAATGGAAGAATTGAAAAGTCAAAGAATTTGTATTAAATTTTGCGTAAAAAATGAAATAAAGTGTAACAAAGTGTGTGAAATGTTACAAAAAGCCTATGGTGAGTCTGCTATGAAAAAAACAAGTGTTTACGAGTGGTATAAGCGTTTCCAAGATGGCCGCGAAGACGTTGAAGATGACGAACGCTCCGGTCGACCCAGCACGTCAACAAACGATGAAAATGTGAAAGAAGTGGAAAAAATGGTTATGAATGATCGCCGAATCACAATTAGAGAAGTTGCTGATGAAGTTGGCATATCAATTGGCTCATGTCATAACATTTTTTCAAATGTTTTGGGCATGAAACGAGTGGCAGCAAAATTCATTCCAAAACTGCTAAATTTTGACCAAAAAAGCAATCGCATGAACATCGCTCAAGAGCTGTTAAATGACGTCAACAACGATCCAAGTTTGCTTGAAAGGGTCATAACTGGTGATGAAACATGGGTGTACGGTTATGATGTCGAAACCAAAGCCCAATCGTCCCAATGGAAGAGCCCAGGTGAGCCAAGACCGAAAAAAGCACGTCAAGTTCGATCGAATGTCAAGGTTTTGCTTACTGTTTTCTTTGATTATAACGGCATAGTGCATCAAGAGTTCTTACCACAAGGTCGTACGGTTAATAAGGAGTATTACCTTGAAGTGATGCGACGTTTGCGTGAAGCAATCCGAAAAAAACGCTCCGATTTATGGAAAAACAATTCATGGCTGTTGCACCACGATAACGCACCTGCTCACTCGTCGTTGCTTGTTCGTAATTTTTTGGCCAAAAACAATACCGTAGTCATGCCCCAACCTCCATATTCACCAGATATGGCTCCGTGTGACTTTTTCCTATTCCCAAAGTTGAAGAGACCCATGAAAGGACGGCGGTTTTCCTCGATTGAAGAAAATCGCTGAGAGTGCTCAAGGACATATCAAAAAGTGAATATCAAGGGTGCTTCGAAAATTGGAAAAAACGCTGGCATAAGTGTATTATATCTGGGGGGGACTACTTTGAAGGGGACCACATTAATGTAGACGAATAAATAAATATTTTTTTGAAAAAACGAAAATTCCGGGTACTTTTTGAACAGACCTCGTATAATTTTATTGTTTGGTAAATTTATCTTTGTCATGAAAAATTTATTTAAATTATTTACTTTATATATGGCAATAAGTGAGTCTGCTCAATATTTCATACAGAAACATGAATAATAATACATAACTTCATATTTGAAATAAGGTAAGTTAAATGTTTCATGTTATGTTTATTTATATTTTCACCAATGTATAATAGTTTATTTCATAATTATCCATGTATTCATATATATTTTATTTGCAGGTAGCAAGTGTTATACTATGCACGGCAAATACTAGCATTCCACAATAAGAAAGGTTGCCATACAATACACATGTAGGTATGTACATGTCATACTTTCAATACTCAGGGGACTGGTTTATATATATATATGTATATGTATATGCATGTATGTGTGTATGTATGTATGTATGTATGTGTATGTAGGTGTATATATATATATATATATATATATATATATATATGTATATATAGTTATTATTTTTTTAGTTTTAATAGGAATCGATCAATTCTTACTCGCATTTTTCTTAACTATTCAGCACCAGTTCCTTCATTTTGTTACAATGAATCATTTGTCATAACTATCTGTGAAATATTTTCGTAAGTTACTTTTTTTAGGATATAGGTTGTAGTGTTTTTGGTGGTTGATAGTTTTTATACACTATCTATTTATGTGATATTTATTTGTTTTGAATTCTTAGATTCGTATGAAAAAGCCAGAAGAGCGGCTGCAGCGGATGGTGAAGCCTCGCAAAGTGATGAGCCGCGAGAGGACCAAAAGGGTGTTTGAAGGTAAAGTTGAGGAAGAGGAAGATTATTGTGAGTAGTTACTTTTATAAAATTCTTTGCATCATATTTATTTGACTAATGTTCTTGCAGCTGACACATAATTTAATTTAATTTTAAATTCCGGGCAGATAGCAAGGAAAAAGGCATAAACAAAGAACGGAGCACTGTCGATCAAGGCACACAGGCAGAGGAACCTCTGCCTACACGCATATAAAGTAAGTGATTCATAGCTATTGTGTCTTAATTATTATTTATTCTTATTGATTTTTTAATAGATTCCTTTAACTACTTTGTAAAGGAGAATAAAATTTATAATGATTCTGTGGTAACTGCTATCAAGGCACTACCTCGCAATAGTGTCGAGCAGGAGGATGACAGCATTTGTGAGAACTTATTTCCTTTAACCCCTTCGCTTACAGCGACGCCTCAGAGGCGTCGCAAGGTTATCGGCCCAAACACAAATATGACGCCTCAGAGTCGTCGTAAGTCTACCGAACGAAACATAAATAAAACATTTCCGAAACTTGGTGAAGCATAGACACTCCAGAGTACGAGTTCAATTACTTCTCATTCGCATTCGGCGTTACATCGTTTATAATAAGTTTTAAAAAAAGTTCTTCAAGAAAAAAAAAATTAGGGGTAAATTACAAAGCAGTGAAGACTTTGCTACCAGTAGTAGTGACTGTGATAGGGCCATTGTACGTTTCGCACGAAAAGTTGCTAAGCCATTGGTGGTTAACGAAGAATCCGATAATGAAAATTATTACCAACCACCTATGGTGTGGGCCTGGAAGAAAAAAGAAAAACCGACCAAAAATATGGCATATGGAAATTTCCGGAATAAAAGCTGCCACATTCGATCAGTTTAATACAAGCAAAAAAAATTGGAGATTTTTAATTTAATGTTTAATAGTTTATTTTGGGAAAATATTGTAACAGAGACAAATCTATACGCGGAACAAATAATAAATAATAGAAATAAAAGAAGAAAAATTGATGAAGCTTGGTTTCCAATTGACTCTGATGAACTAAAAATATATATTGCCCTATGTATAATTGCGGCTCAAGTGAAGAAACCCTCACTTCAAATGTATTGGTCGAAGAGGGCCGTTATTGCAACTCCAATATTTAGACAAACGATGCCGTACAAGAGATTTTTACAAATAACTCGATTTTTGCATTTTGGAAATAATAATGTAGCCGATAAAAGTAATAAATTAAGCAAAATAAAGCCCGTAGTAAATTATTTTAACCAACGATTCCAAGAAGTATACATTATGCAAGAGAACATTACAATTGTCGAATCATTAGTCAAATTTAAAGGACGTTTATCCTATAAACAATATAATCCATCAAAAAGAGCGAGATTTGGAATAAAAATTTATAAATTATGTGAGTCCAGTACAGGTTAATGCCATAATTTCAAAATATACACTGGCCATGACAAAATACATGCTACAGAAAATGCATCTGAGACTGTGGTCAAAGAACTATCGAAGCATATTTTACATAAAGGACACACACTATATTTGGACAATTGGTATTCT